TAACTGCAATGCCCAGAAAACACAATTCTTGTGGGGGGTTAGGGTTATTTGTAGCCTCTTTACAAGAGACCTCCATGCTCTGTGTCACATCAGATAGCCCACAGGATTCTTCTACAATGGATTACCTCTGTCAATGTTTTCCAGACAGTTCATTTGTTGCAAAAAGACCAAAGGTAATGTCATTCCTGTGTTAATAGCTCCAAAGTCATGTCTTTGAAAGGTTTAGTTCCAAAATAAGCATTCCCATAAGCCTTATTCTTACCTGATCATCTGAATAAGGGTGAGGTTTCCTTCATGACTGTGTTTTGGGGGCACACAGCTCCAGCCCAGGCCAGGCGGCTCTGTGCACTGCCCCAGTTCTGGGAAGAAGCGGGTAAAGAAGGGACCGAAATTCCCATGGGCTCTTCCTCTTCCAGTAAATCTGCATTCAGATAACTTCCTAATCACTCAGCTGAGGTTCAGGAATCACCATGGAGCAGAAGCTGTTCACTGCTCTTGGCTCTTTAGTAAAGCATTTGCATGAGGAGCTGGAGCTGGCACAAGAAGGAGGTTTTTAGGACTGGAGGTTGTGCGGAAACTAACCACAGGACACAGAGAGTCTGTATCAGGCAGCATTTAATGTAATATGTCATTTCTGTCATTGCTTATACCTGATTCAGCAAGGCACATACTGACACAGACGAGCTGGGTTTAAGCACAAGACACGGAATCAAATCAGAAACAAAAGTATAAAACCACCACAGAATCTCTGAGAGATGGGTTGACAGCACTTCTGAAGATGTGTGAATTAAAACTAACAATAAATTGCTTATCTTTTTTTATATCCCTATTTATTTACGCTTGGAGAGCAATCAGGTGCTGGGCATTCTTAGGTGTGGGGCAGGACCCAATCAGCGTCCCCGTGCAGGGCGCTTACTGCCGCCCATTGGTGTCCCCTGCCACCGGGCACATATAAGCTGAGCGCTGGGGTGCAGCGAAGGCACTCAGCTGATACACTGGAGGTGGTAAGTATGGCTTAGCTATTACAGAACACTGCTTTTTCCAATGACAGACTACATGGGAGCCATGTCTACTAACCAGGTAACTGTTGTTTGAGGAGGCTTGAAAAGAAGAGGAATCTGGTAGCCTCTGCTTCTCAGCCTGTTCAAAGGTTGACACTGATTCAGGGAGTGTCTGTGCTTTCAGAAAGGTCTGAATAAAGCTGAAAACTGGGGAGGTTTTGGCTTTACGCTGCAAGGTCAGTTGGGCGGTGGAGCAGGTTGTCTGGAGAGCTTGTGCAGCCAGCATCCTTGGAGGTTTTCAAGGGAAAAAAGCCCTGAGCAACCTGGGCTGAAGGTAGTGCTGACCAGATCTGAGCAGGAGGCTGGACTGGGGACCTCCCAAGGTCCCTTCCAGCCTGCATCATTCCATGATTCTGTTAAACTGATGTTGCATTTGTCTTGCTCAGTGACAGCAATACTGGGGTTTTCTTTAAATAAAGCAAGAAAATGTCATTTTGCTTTGGATGGGGCAGGTTTGCATGTAACTCTCTGTGCCCGGTTGAGTTTATCTTACTTTCCCCACAGTCGAATTAATGAGTGGCTCGATTTTCTTCCTTTTGATGTTATCAGTGCAGTCTGATAACCTAATAATTACAATCTCCTATCTGCAAAGTACTCTATAAACATTAGCCTATGCTCTTTGTCGTGTATTTTCAGTGAGCAACAGCTACAGAACTGTGTGTTACATGCCCGGTCTCTTGGCTTGCCTCCCAGCTCCAATAGATATTTCCATTTATCCTTTGTCCAGTGCCACATCAGGCTTCTTTATCTAGGAAAGTAACAGGGCCATTGCAGAATACCTGCAACAGGTCAGATATATTTGATAGCTGATCAGTTTCATCAGATGAAGTTTCAGGCAGGGGTTAGGTGTACTGGGACAGGGTGGTTGGAACTAGATGCTCTTAAGGTCCTTTCCAACCCTAACCATTCTATGATTCTGTGATAGGTAAGAGTTTTGTTAATCAAGAGAGGACGCATCTCTGCTTTGTGACATAAAGTGACTTAAAACTGCACTGGAGGCAGCGTGGGGAGACATTTGCACTAGATATTGCTCATTTCAGCCATTCCTGGCTGCAGTCAGACTGTCCATGCCCCTTTCTGCCCACATTTGCCACCCAGCCTGCATGTTTATGGATGTGACTGCTGAGACCAACAGCAGGGGACCAGCTCACTGGTGACATGTCAAGGCCTCCAAAAGATAGGGGAAAATCAGATTCTATGCATTGGTACAGTACCAGGTCGTCTGCCATCTCGTATAGACAGTATTGGGGTTCCTACAGTTCAGGCAATTTCTAAGGTTACCTTCAGAATCACAGTGGTTTTAGACACAATTTAAATCCAGACCTTGGGCACAGTGATGCTGAGATTTTAAAGTGCTTCATAACTAGAAGGACATCTTTGCAGTGCTGCAGCACCACACCAGGAATTAACCAACCCTTGAGGAGATACATGAGAAATCCTCCAGTGGAGGGGAATGTAGATGTTGACGAGTCAAGGGCCACGTCTTGTTTCTTTGCTCTCCAGGCATCTAGAAAGCACATTTGTATTTGCTTTGGGTGAGCAAACGAATGAGAAGCCCATTCTTGCCAATTATTTTATATCAGATGTTAAGGGAACTGAACACAATGTGTAGAATACAACCTTATTTTAGAAGGCGGAGAGCCAGTAATGCTCTTCCTTCCATGAAGTCCTCCAGCACCAGCCACCTCAGCATGGCATGCTGCCTCCACCCCTTGGCTTTTGGGCCAGGTCGGCTGCTCCAGACAGGGGCGATGCTGCAGCCTGTGGCACTTCTTGGTGGCAGCAAGGGAGGAGCTTGGATGCTGCTGTCTTCAGGTGGGTGTCTGAGGGGCTTCAGGGTGCTCCTGAGCCCCCAGGAGAGCCCCCTGGAAAGATGGGGCACAGGCAGCATGCTCACATTCTTGGGGCTGGAGGGAAAAGGAGGCTTATGTGGGGCCCCCCTTGAGGCTCTCTTGGGGCTACCACTCACCAGGATAGGGAGCTACATGCTGACAAAGAGGGAAAAGACCCACAAAAGCAGCTCTAATAATTTCAGCCCCCTCATTTCCTCTCTTCCACCTCACTGTGAAAAGGTCAAGATGGGCATCACCAGGAAGAAAAAAGGATTCTTGTAAACCAATTTGCCTCCAGTATGGTTGGTAACTGGTGACGTCAGTTGTGAAAGCGTGCAAGTGCCTCTGATACGCTGCAGCTTATCTCTTCTTTACCCACAGGTGACTTTTGCTCCTTCCCAGTTAATTCATTAGTTAAACAAGGATTTGCTTGGGGAGACACACTCAAGGCCAACACAAATACTGGCTTGCAAGGAAATAACATTTTTATTATTTTTCCTTTAATCCCTCGCAAGAAGGAGCAGATGTGGGGGGGAAGAGCACTGGGAGGCAAAGTTTGCTGGAAGAGTTGTTGTTGGCTGCAGGGTCCAAGCCTTTCTGGCGCGACCATCCTTGCACCTTTGTGGTGTCTCACTGCTTTGTGAGACTAGGGTTGGTGTTGCTGGAGGAGAAAAGGCGGATCAGTGCCTGGTGTGGATGTAGTCCAGTGTCCACTGCCTGCTGTCCTGCTTCGATCTGCAGCTGGGTGACACAGCAACACAGGTTGTTGACATCCATCCTCAGACCATGACCACACACCGTGGTGCTGCTCGAATAAGTGTGGTGTGTTTCTGTGTTTCAGGGACAGCCCAGTACCCAGGGAGCAAACCACAGCCCCATCCTCCCAGCCCGTGTGGAAGCCACCGGGAAAGCCCGACGCTGACCTCGGGTAGTCCTGACGCACCACTTCCAAGAAGCTCCCGCCAAGTGGGTGAAACAGGCAAGCGAGCAGGAGGAGGATGGCAGAAACGGTAATTCAGGCTGCCCTTGGGCTCACGTGTTGAGCCACAGATAAATTATGTCATGAGGACCCAGCCATAACAGCGTGCTGGCTGCTGGTCTGGCCGCTGTGACTCAGCTGGGCTTTTCAGGCACAGCAGGCAGCCTGGGTGGCCAGGAGCGGCAGAGCCATGCTTTTGTGGCCTGAGATGAAGATGATGCTCTGCAGCTTTGTTGGCCTCCACTATCCAAGCTGTGCATGTTGGCTCCAGCGTCCTCCTCTCAGCAGGGCAGTAGTTAGAGTGGCTTTCCCACATCCCCTCCACTTCAAGCGGCAGCAGGCCTGGTCCTTCTGCAGGCAGCCCTCTGTGTTTAGAACTTGTTTAATCCTTTTCTGTTTCCATTTTTACCTGCTCTGCTCCTATAGTTGCTCCTGATAATTTCATTTTGTCTTATTATTTGATGCTGAGAAGCAAAAAAGCGTTTATCAGTCATCCAGAAATTCCCCCAGGATTTACAGCCTGCTCTCGCCACCAGAATCCTTCTCTAAGCTGTTTTACTGTGGAACTTGCTCTGTACCCCTGAACACCTTTGCTGCCCCTCCCTGATGTTTTGTTTCTATCAATCAATTCTCTCTTTTCACTTAACACACTCAGATGCCAGAGTAGACGTGTCCTCTGGTCCTTTGAGGCCATTCACTACCACCACACAAATATTCCCACATGGTTGCTGGGTAGACTTACCTGCAGTTTTTTCACCGTTAGGGTGAAAAATACTGCTCTTGGCAGAATAATTAATTACAGAGCATCAAATTGTCTAGTGGGAGAGATGCTTCAGTGTTCATTAGAGCAGGGTAAGATTGACTGGAGGTGGTGGCCAGATGATCACTTGCCATGTATGTGGTCTAGTATACCACTCCGAAAGAGCAATTCTATGAATCTGTTAGAATCAGGTGTTTGAAATGCCAGTAGGGATGCCCCATGCAGGCTGCCTTCACACCCAAATGTCACTTCTTGCTTTCCACAACCATTGCCCAGGTTCCTGCTTGCTTTTCCTGCCTACTTTTCCTCCCAGGTGATGGTGAGTCTCTATTTCCACAACACAGGAGCTGACTAAGCTGTGCCCACTCATGAATGGCAGTTGTGTGGGAAATCGGGAAAACAAAGCCGACAGCTCCTGGGTTCTTCCCAACTTGCCCAGCAAGTGCACATGGACACCTACAATGCCTGCCACCAAGTCCCCACACTCCTGTGTGCCCCTGTAAGTAATTCTCTCATGCTGGTTATTTCAAGAGTGCAGACAGCTTGGTATCTTTTCCTGAAGACGAAGTACGATTGTTACACCAGGATGGTCATGACCTGAAGTCAGTAGTTAATTGTCAGTAGACAATATGTTATGTTAATGATGGTTTATTTTCCAGAAGGCAAAACCCACCTAGTCTCTTCTCTCCCACTCTCTTTAATCTTGCAGTAAGGTGTGGTGGGCTTGAGACGCAGCTCTGTGTTTTCCAGCATACATTTGAAAGCATCTGCTAGTTTGGAGCATCTTATTTTAGAAGAATTCAGATGAACATATTTCAGAGGTAGATTTCAACCAGGGACTTGTATACATCTGCAGAGTGAACTCCATGAGGTCTGGTGTTGCACAGCACAAGTGAAGGCACTCCAAACACACTGGAGGAGGTGCAGTAATGGCTATCCTGGTTGCAGTGTAAAGCATGAATACAGCCCGAAGCTGTGCACCCATCAGCTGTACAGCACAGTCAGTAGCGCTCATGCAGTCATCAGCTGAAGGAAGGGCTGTGGTTTGGCTGCCCTTGTTCATTCAGTCTGAAGCTGTGTAAGAAGATTTCAGATTACTAGCAGTGTCCTTACTGATGGCTAAGAGACTTCCATGAAAACGTGTTACCTGGGCTTTTAAATAGGTAGAGAACAGTCTACACAGAGGATGCTCACTGTGCATAAGCAACCCAAGAGTGCAGTGCAAGGCAGTCATTGCTCTGAGTGGTTCTCGTCCTCACAGCAGCGTGTTTCCTCCCAGGGTGAGATAAGCCTGCCAAAGTGCCTAGACTAGACTCAATGAGAGGCGCTTTAACAGCCTGGCAAAGCAGACACAGACAAGCTATTAAAGATAAGGCTGTCCTATAAATGTCAGGGCAGCTGCAGACACGTCCCTGCTGTTCTAAAGGTGTAAAACATGAGTTCAGCTCAAGCATGTGAGGAACTGGATCCCATGGGAGGCGCGGCACTGCTCAGCATGGATGCCTGCCAGCCGGGAGCCAGCTGGAGGAATGTCACACCACGTGCCGGGCAGGACACGGCCACAGCACAGCCACCGGCATGTGTGGAGCCCAGAGCTGCCTCTGGGTCTGGGTCAGGAAGGGGGTAATGGTGGGCTCCATATTCTTAGAGCTGACATGGCAAATGTGCACCCAGGCATGCACTCAGTGCAATCCCAGCGGCTAGCGCCCCAGGATAGGACCAGCTCTTTTCAGTCAAACTGGGTTATGTCAGTTGTCATGCTGAGCAGGGTAATATCCTTGGCTTTTAACAATTTAGCATCAGGGTGCCATGGGCCCATCCACTCCCCAGCCAGGAGATGGGCTGCTGGAGGAGTGGGGCACTGGGGTATGGGGTCTGGGTGAGGGGCCCATGCAGCATTGCTGTGGCAGGGCTTGAAACATAACCCACTGTACAGCAGTGAAGAAAATATACCAGGACACATCTTGCCATTTGTTTTACTTTGCAGCAATGCATGGAAGGGGTGGTTTGGTTTCTCTGCTCTTGGTAAATCACACATGGCAGAGGAAGTAGCAAAAATCTCTGGACTTTCTGAGATTCCTGTGTGAAACTTGTTGATTTTGGGGTGGTAAAAGCAGAGGATGGGGGCAGAGGGAGATGTTATTTTAATTAAGACAAGATGTTATTTTAATTAAGAGTATTAATTATTTATTTTTTTCCGAAGGTACAGAGCTAGGCTAGCTCTGATATCCCTTGAGCCAATTCTGACCTGCTATAAACTCAACAACAACAACTTTGTTTGCCAGGATTGTTTTTTTTCACCTGGACATCTTATGGAATAACATGCCACAAGTAAAAGCAGGAATCTTGGGAAAAAAACATCCCATCCTTGTCCACTGCAATCCTGAAGTGATACCAGCAGCTGCAGGACTAGAGTGTCCCCACCACATCCTTTAGGAGCACCAAAGGCATTTGCCACAGACACTTGTATCCCCATAGACCTGCTGCCTTCAGGCACATGCAGCTGGGGAAGGAAGCTGACCACGCTATGGTTATTTATCTAGTAAAATATGGTAGTGATTAGGAAAGGAATTTGATGGGAACTGCAGAAAATCTGCCCCAGAGAGCTATTCTCTTTAGCTGGTGGCAATGCAAAAGAGCAGGCCACCTCTACTCTCCCTGCAAGGCTCACCCCAGCATGCATGCCCTTCTCCATCCTCTTGCTAGGGCCCACCACTGCAGACCCGAGAGCTGTACAAGCACCTCATCATGCCTTGTGGGGTTCACGTCTTATTCAGCACAATTATTAGCTGAAGGCAAACAAATGGCCTTGCTTTCTTCTCTCAAACTGTCTTCCTGCAATATAGATGTGTAACGTAATACACAGATAACTCTCTCGAAAGCCAGGCTCTACTTAAACACCATCTGAAGGAGCTGGAGTCTCCTCGTGCTGTGGCTCAGTCCCACTGAAATCCCTGAACATTTTGGTGGCATTTAGAGCAGATGGGAAATGGCTGCAGCAGTGGGGGAAGCTCACTTACTGAGTTATCGCCTCACATTTATCAGCACTCAGTAGAGGTTGATGTGTGCAGTAACACTTTCCATGGAGGGAGAGGTAGCAGCATGTTTCTGGGCTTGAGATGTAAGGAGGCTGGCTCCTTTTGGTGGTAAAGACCTGCACTCACCCACTACCCTGTACTCTTGCAAAGCAAGAAGTATTTGTTTCACTCTCGCAAAACCCAGAGGGAGGTGTGTGTGTCTTTAAGTAAATCTGCATGTCATTCCTGCACCACATGGACTTTCTGTCAGCAGACGGCCATCTGCCTGGCTGTGATAGCTGACAAGGATAACTTGGGTTCAAGGTTCAAAGGATGATAGTAGGCAAGAGCTGTGCAAAGGAGAGCTGAGCAGTGAGGGAGTGAGGGTTTGTCTCCCCGCTGAGAGAAAGACATGCTGGCTCTCATCCAGGGGCAATACTTTTGTGGCCTCAATAAATGCAGCCTTCATCAATCTTTCCCCTTCGTCTTTAAAAAAGTTCAAGGACACGAGTGCTCTCACTGCATGGCAAGATGCGGTTGGTTTGGGCAAACAAGTCTTTTTCATTCTGGTTTCAATTGCTGTGACGTGATTCTTGGCTTCTGCTGGAATCTGAGACCAGCAGAACTGGAAGGCTGGATTCCATTGATCCAAGGGTTTGGTTTAATTATTTGCAGAAAATACCCTCCATAGTGTTCTGTTGCTTGGGCCTGTCAGATGGCTTGGAGCCATCCTTGCATGTGGTCAGGCAAGCAACAGATGGCCTTGAGATAGCTGAAAATGTGAAGAGCAGAGGTGGCGATGGGTAGGATGGAGGAAAGAGGAGGAGCCTTGTATTGTGCATGGCCTTCTGGCTTTCTCATCCACTACATAAAATCCCAGGCTTGTCAGCTCTTCTCACTTCACTTAATTATAGGCCTGGCCCAGGACCTTACGGAACAAGACATTTCAGAACAGGCCTAAAAATTAATTAGCTTATTTTTTATGCAAAAGAATTAATAACTCATTGTAAGAGTGATGGAAAACCATCACTGGCTCCTGTTGCCATTCATTGTCAATGGGGATGTTTTCTTTTGGAGTCGGGTTGTCTGTCAGTGGCCTTGCTAAGGTTGCTGAAATCTCGCTCAGATTTTATCTTGGTTCATGTTGCATAACAGTTGCTTTGATTTGATATATTTCTTTTTTTCTCCACATTATTTCAGTGCAGAAGAAAAAAAGATCTTGCCCAACATCCTGAGGAGAATTGGCTGCACCCCAATGGTCCGAGTCAACAAGATTGGGAAGTCCTATGGGCTCAAGTGTGAGCTCTGTGAGTGTCCCCTTTCCACCAGGTTTTTCCATGCCATAAAGTGAGGGTGAGGGGTGGGGTTGGAAAAGGGCTTCAGAAGAGTCTCTGTGGAGAGCGGTCATAGATGGGGAGGGCCAGAGGTGGCACGTGTTGGGTTCTCCCACTAATTAGGTTACACTACCATCATTTGTCAGACCAGATAGGATGGTTTCAAGCTGCAACAAATGGGGCTAATTGTAGCAGAGGCATCTGTCCTCCCAAATAGCTGCAGTATAAGCTCAGAGCAGAGCAGGGCTGAACTTGGGGATGGGTGGATGACATCCTGGCAATGGGCAGAGATGCTGCGGTACCTGCAGTAGCATGCTGTGTGCACAGAACAAGACTGGCCAAGCTTTCATGAAACATGGTGCCTGGGGTGGGGTGAAGGGCACGGTGGGGCCTGCCAGACTGAGCTCCACGGAGCGGGGACTCTACACTGCTGTGGCCTCATCTCCATCAGGTCAGCTGGAGCCAGGCCAGGCGCTGCCGTCTGCTGCATCACTGTCTTTGGAGCAGTGACAGCTTCCCTTGGGGACCTCCCTGCAATGCAGCCCTGGGTTTATCAGCAACACGTGTGCCAGGCCCCGGTGCTAAAAGCCAGGCCAAGGGGCTGGCTGCAGGGCCAGGTTTTACAGCAGCACCCAAGTCCTCCCCCCAAGGGAATGTTAGCACAGCACTGGTGTTCTCTCATGTAAGAGCTGGTTTTAACCTGGTTGCCTTCAGACATAGGACAATAAGATTACATTCTCTTTGTGCATACAGTCTTCAGTCCCTTTTCAAACAACTTTTAACCCTATTAAATAATTTCAGACTAATTGGGCAGAAAGGCAGGTGTCTCAGGGGCAGTCAGATTCATGAGTGTCACATAGCTGGGTAAGAAGGAGTGACTTGATGAGTGCTCACACTCAATAAAATGGCACAGCAGGACCTTGCAATCCTGTTTGGCAGCTATGAATCTGTACACCAGTCCATTGCCACTGGGCACATGGCTGTATGAAGCGTGCTGTGCTCTTTGACCAGATCTTCTCTCAGCATCTGGGATATTCAGGCGCATAACCCTGCAACCGCTACGTTGCACTGCCTCTCACTTCCCAGAATGAGACCTCAGGGGATCTCAGGGGACTGTGGAACAGAGGTGGTGGAGGCAGGAGGACAGATCTGCAGTGTCTGGTCCACCTCTGAAGCAGTCTGTCCCCTGGAGGATGTCACCTCAGGGACATGGGAAGATTTGGTGCCAACAGCCGCCACGCAGGCAGGGACACCCTGTTTGCTGGGACCGTGTCTCCCTCCCCAGCGCAGGAGGGGAAGAAGAGCAGGACAGGCAGAGCAGCTGCATGGTCCTCCCTGAGCTGCAGGTCAGCACAGAGCCTCTTGCCAAGCAAACACACGAATGCTTGCAGCACTGCTGAATCAAGGAAGCACTTATGGTTGGGGGGGAATTACCTGGTAATCCCTGTGCCTCCAGGGATCCGTGTGTGTAGCTGGAGTTCTGGCACTTTGCCTTATAACATGTGATGATGAGCACAAGGGGTTTTATCATTCTGGCTGCTCAGGTATTGGTTTGATTTCTCATCCTCGAGTAGCTGTCTGCTAGGATGAAGTGAATGACACCTGAAAGTACCCATTTCTCCCTGTTGTCTGTAAAACAGAGCCCAGTAGCATCGGTTAAAATATAGATGCTCATCAAAAGGTTGGTAAGAAAAATCCTCCCATAAGCATTAGCTATGTGGAGGGCCTGATTAGGAATGGAGGTGTGCCTTGTGGTTTGAGTGTGCCTTGGGAAGTCTCCCTTTTTTGGTTTTTTTGGTAGTTTAGTGAAGAAATTTTAATTTTGTCTGACACTTAAAAGTGGTCTTTCTGTTGTTTGTTTTTCTTCTTGGCACCCCATTTAGGGCTACAGATTGTCCTTACAAAAGGGTACCTTTTTAGCTATATATTAGCAACTGCCATGCCTCAGGAAAGACCGTGACACCTTACTGTTAATGCTGACAGTGCTTTGCTCAGAGTAATCACTGTATGTCCAGTTGACTTTAAACCCATCCTAGACTTACTAGCACTGCCCACTGCCTTCAGGATGCTGCAGGGAGGTGGAATGTAGGGGAAAGATGGACTACGGCATCTTGTAGTGGATGTTTTAACAGTGGGTAATCCCACAACAAGCTGTGGCACCCTGCAAGCAGATGGTGGATGTGCTCACCTGCACAAAGGACCATCCCGTAGGGTGTCTTCAAATGACTGCAGCAAGGGCTGGGGGAGCAAGGAGCTGGTGCTCCTGGCTGCAGCTTGTCCCTGATGGAGCCTCCCCTTTCTTTTCCAGTGGCAAAATGCGAGTACTTCAATCCAGGGGGCAGTGTGAAGGACCGCATTGGCCTGAGGATGGTGGAAGATGCAGAGCGAGCTGGGATTATAAAACCAGGAGACACGCTGATTGAACCCACTTCAGGAAACACAGGTGGGAACAGCGGGGATGCTCCCTCCACCTGGGTACTGAGCAGGGTGGCATTTCAGAGGGGTTTCAGGAGGCACAGGGATTCAAAGAGGTCTTGCACTTGGACTTACAAGGTCACCTTGGGACCCCATGGCTCTGGCTGCATCCTCCCCTTGGCTCCCTTCCCAGTGGCCATGAGCATCCTGGGGTGCTGAGGTGCCTCACTGCTGAAATTCCCAAGGCCCTGTGAGGGTTCCACACCTGCACAGGTGTGCCCAGTGTGTTACCTGTGGCGAGGCAAATGGCCTCAGCAGCTAGAGGAGCTCAGGCAACCCTGGGTGTTTTCAGGCTGGGGAGCTCTTGAATACCCAGAGATTCCCAAAGAGGGTTTCCCTGATGGGCTGGGAGATAAATCACCTGGGTTTTTTAACTTGTCACTGTCATCCTGCTCAGGCACTAGATTATGGTGGGGGACAAGTAGAGGGGGGACAACAGAGAAGCCTCCTTCCTATTAGGTAGCCTATGCAGGACCATTGGTGCAAGTTTCAATGTCTCTTTGCTGCTCCCTGCACCAGCATTCCCACCATGGCAGGGACACTCGTGCGTGTAGCGTGCTTTCCTGCAAAAATGCCCAGTGGAGGCTGTTGAGGCACTCTGGACAGAGTAGAGATCATGTCCCTCTCTGCACTCTGCACCTCCTGCTCACTAGACATGCAGAACAGGGCTCGTCTATAGCCATTTTGCTCCTTACTGGCCTGTTGCTCCAGGCACTCCAAAGCCAGCCTCTCTTGCCCTGGCCACCCCCAGCCATAGGGTGAGGAGACCTGTGTGTCACAGGGCTGTTCCCTGGTGGCTCCCTGCCCACCCAGGGCAGTCGGGTGGCACCATGTTCCCTACAGCCTCCCGCAGGGACACGCTGCTCCAGCCTCACCTTCCTGCTCTATCTGCAGAGCAGCTGGCTCCATCCATCACCCACAGTGAAACTGGAGCAGAGGTCCCCTTCACCTGCTTGCCACGGGGTGAAATGTGCAGCTTTGTGTGCGTGTGTGTCCTAGCTGAGAGCATCTGGGGGATGGGGGAAGGCATTCCTGTGTTCTGGAAAACAAATGAAGAGTCCCGAGCCTTGGGGAGGGGAGGAAAGCTCTGCCCAGCTTTGCCATTCGCTCTGTGCCATGCTAATAGATTCCTGTCATCAGGAGTGATGCTGCAGCTCAGCCTGCCTGTTCCACATCCTCCAATGCTCCCTGGCAGTGCTGGCGCATGCTGAGAGGCTCACAGAGGATGCCCTTGCTTGTAGCTCATCAGTGACCATAGCCAGGGTATGTTCACTGGCAGAAGAGAGGAACATAAGAAGCAATGCATGTCAGTTAGCCTTACCAAACACTGTTATGAACCATTTCCCTTTCCTCTCCACTACCTAGGAATCGGACTGGCAATGGTAGCTGCAGTGAAAGGTTACCGCTGCATTATTGTCTTGCCGGAGAAGATGAGCATGGAGAAGGTGAGAGCTCTGTACGGTATTACCCTTGCAGCCGGGGAGGGGAACATCTCCTGCCCTGTCTCTCCCTGCCTCTCCCTTTTCTAGGGTTGGAGTATACTCTCCTTTAAAGGGTAACGAGCCTTGCTGCACACACTGACATAGCTCTGTAGTTATTCAGAAGATTTCCTCTTGATGGGAAAAAAAAAGCACACTGTGATGGCCTGGCTGAGTATCTGGTGCATGTAGTCATGTCTTAGTCAAATGCCATGTCTGGCTGCAGACACACGAAGCAATATCTGCTGTCTGCAAGAGCAAGGGCTGGAGGGAACAGAGGAGAGGCAGGCAGGTCCTGCTGACCTCCCGTCTGACACTAGATGTGTCACTTGGTTTCTCTGTGTTTCTATGGTTTTCAGAAACCTGGAGACACTTATGGTTGTCTGAGCTGCTTTCTTGAGATGGTCAAAGTCAAGTCACTTGCACGAAAGCTGGTGACTGGGTAAAACTGCTGCTCTGGAGATGGCAGAAATACCCACCTTGGGGAGCCAGAACTCTCACAAGCTGCTCAGCTGAACTCCTGCCAGTGAAGCCAGACCGGGACCCTGACTTAGCTCAAAACTGAGCCCTTCTCCAAAGCACCATCCTCATTTCAACCTAAATCTCACTTAAGCTCAGTCTGGATCAGATGCCATCTCTAGCTGCCATGGGCTTCATCTTCAGGTGCCCCAGCACTCACCCACCCTTCTCTTTTGACCACCTCTTCCCAACAGCTGCATCTCCCAGTGGATTAATACCCTGGTGCTGATTTGTAGTTGTTCCTTCCCTGTTCTTGGTGAGGCGACAGAGGGATTTGAGGCAAAGACAGCTTTAAGACCTTCTCCTTGCATGCAAAAGCTCAGACCGGAGCACATAGGAGACACTTCTCCCTACCCTGGTTCCCTCTGCCCCTGTCCCAGGCACCAAGGAGCAGCACAGTGTTACCTACCTCTGCCATTTCCCCAGCCTGCCCTCTGAGTAGGACAGGGCACAAAGCCAAGCTTGATACTGTGTGCCAGCTTTAGGCAGAAGTCCCTGGCTGCCATGAGGATGTCAGAGATAGTATAACTGAGAATTGGACATCGTATCTCCAAGCGCTAAGTATCTCCTGCATGGAAAGCTCCTCTGGCATCCAGCGCTGCCATGAGCCCACAGGTTCAGGTTACCACCTCTATGTGGGATCAGTTGTGCTACATCTACTTTCTTCCCTCCCAAAGGTCGATATTCTGAAGGCACTGGGTGTTGAAATTGTGAGGACCCCATGCACCCGCTTTGATGCTCCGGAGTCTAACGTTCGTGTGGCCTGGAAGTTGAAAAGTGAAATCCCAAACTCACATATCCTGGACCAGGTAAATGCCATTCCTCCATATGGTTTACAGCATATGCTCCTCCAAGAGTGCCTGTGTTTGGGGGTTTCATTCAAACTGGCAACAGAAGATTTTGCCAGTGTTCTATGGTGTTTGAAACTTAATTGTAAAGCATGGGGTGGCAGAAACAAAATAAGGGACCCTTCCAAACCTGTAATACTCTGCCAAAGCCGGGATGTGGGTGAGGCTGGGTTTTCCTGCACAATTCAAAGACTCCTTCAGATTTACTTTGCCTCAGATTTACTTTGCTTCAGACTTAACTTTGACCTGAAAAAAATCAGTTCCTGCAGTGCTGGGTCTTGTACAAGAAGGCACCTCTCCTTTCGGTCTGACCCCGCTGCAGGAAGGTGTTCCTATAGTGAGTAGGGGGCCCCTGTAGTGCAGAAGAGTCAGGGAAGCGCCTTCCTTTTAAGAAAAAGGGAGCTCAGTGTCTGAATACACTTTTCAGAAGCAGCCTGGTCTATGGGTGCGAAATGCGGGGCTGCACACATGTCAGTGCTGTACCTGTGCACCCCTGTGGTAAATCCCTCTGTACAGGCAGGACAGCTACTCTGCCCCACAGCTCCCAGCCACCTAACTTACTGAACTGCCAACCACAAATGCCCCTAAATGACAAAGCAGCTCCCAAAATTAGATATGTATATGATACTTGAAAAAAGGTTTTCTAACATGGCTTTTGAGCAGGGATATTTTTTTCCCCAAGTTTTTAGGGGTATTGTGAGGCTGTATTTTCAGCTTTTTCAAGGCAACGGAAAAGGTTAAAATGCTTCTATCTAAGCAATAGCTAAAATACCAAGGAGCTGTCTTCCCTCTGTCAGAGCTAGGGCTCTGGCAAAACCACCAGATCCCACAAAACCTGGCAATGCAGCATATAGGACAGCTGCACCGAATGGGCACCAAGTGCCTGAGAGTGAGCATCTGTGGGCACATTTAATCTTCCAGGGTGGACAAATCCCAAGTGTCCTTGGAGATCTGTCCCAGAGTGACAACCAGGAGCAATACCTGTGACGTGGCCTGACCATGTTGCAGTCCACCCCTCGCCAAGGGGGAGGAGGGGACAGTCGCATGCTTTGGGTAAAGCTCATCAGGAGCTATTGCTAGTTTGGTATTTGACCTGCTCTTCACACCACGGTAACTCACACTGTTCTCTGTTGAAATAAACAGTATCGAAATCCAAGCAACCCCCTGGCTCATTACGACACCACAGCGGAGGAGATCCTGGAGCAGTGTGAAGGTACTGTCTGTGCTGTTGTTTCTACGTGCTGAGAAGTGCAGAGGGCTATAGCCCCCTGGAGAGGCTTATTTTACATCATTTATTGACCTAAATGTCTAGAAACAGCCAAAAGGGCCTCTGTAGGTGAAGGCACCATTAGTAATACCGACACGCAACTTCTCATAATCCACTCCAGATATACCTGAGCCTGCAGGGCTTCCCCGCTATGGCCTCCCATTTCACAACCCTGAGGGAGGAGACCAGGCAAATTCAGGCTGTTCCCCAGGAGGAAGAACCAGTCTCTTTGTGGCTACAAAATCTCTGCGACCTGTCAGCTGCAAACACAAGATGGCCAAAGAGGCCTCACACAGGCATATAAATCCATCAGGGCATGGCGGGCTGCATCTGATCCAGCACACTCATCTGCAAATCAAAATAGACTGATACTTCACAGACTAATGATGTTTGATGTGATAGCTGGTGGAGGATGAAGGAGCCCATGGCTGTGCAGATAGAAGTGAAATTTATTGTCAGTACTGGGAGCACTGCAGAATGTAAACAGGACTCAAGGGTTTTGACTGGAGAGCAGTTACCATAACACTAAGGCAGTTGGGTAGCAACAGGAACAAAGGAGTCCCAGCCTCCCCTTCTGTACAGCATTAAAATTTGCTCCTGCTGGCTGCCAGCAGTAGTGAATTACAAGTCCCCTTTTCCCAATGCAGTTGCAGCACAAGTCTCTGAAGGCCTGACTGATTCTGCTCCTACCAGTCTTAAATCAGTATAATTTCACTGATGCCAGTGGGACTACATCTGATCAACACAGGTGCCAGGGCAGAGCTCTGACATCTCTCCACTGTGGATGCTAACACTAGCTGAGAAGTTGTGCCTCTATTCACATGGATGCTTTACTTCAACGTGGCGTGGTTCGAGAGGGCTGGAAATACTGAGATATTCCATCCCGCTTAAGCCAGTAAATATCATAGACACAGAAATCATGAAGACCAGTGAGAGATCTGGAGGTCACATTCAGCCTCCTGAACCGAGGCATGATCAACTGTGCTCAGATCCTTCAAGCTCATATGAGCTTCTACACAGGACCATACTTTGGCCAGTAGCTTGACCACTGCCTATCCTTTCCACACAAGGGGTTCTGGCAGCTGAAGGACATGGGCTCTGCATCTGTGCATGGTACTGAATAAAGGGGAGACCATGCTGGAGGCATGATGAGTCCCTTCAAGCTTCTCTCTTCCCTGACCTGCAGGCAAGGTCCACATGGTGGTGGTTGGGTCTGGCACAGGAGGCACCATCACTGGCATCGCCAGGAAGCTGAAGGAGAAATGCCCAGAATGCAAGGTAAGCTGGGGGGCAGGGCTGCCCATTGGGAGCTGCATCCCCCCTGGGTTTTCCTGCTTGCGCTTTGATCAAGCCTAACTCCATGGCTCACCTGAGCTAGCAGTTGTTGTCTCCACCTATGTGTTTTTTCGCAGCAAGCTTGGCTTTTGTTGGAAGCCATTTGCTGTTGCAAAAGCCTCCCTGCTTTATGGTTGACACCAGTCAACCATAGATGCTCCTTTTGCAGAGTTTGTGATTCAAAGCAGACTGGAGGCTTGACAGTTACTGCATCTCTGGCATAGCCAGTGTGTGAGCGATCCCTGATTCACCAGAGGCAAATTGAGATGGTGTGCACCCAGCTGCTGGAGGAGCTGGGCATGAGATTAACTCACTGGCTGCTTTCACCAGCCCTTCTTACGCTGTATGCTGAGGCATGTGACCTCAGCCCAAACATAAAGCTATAAGCAGCCAGGGAGGTGTCACTGCCAGCCAGCACAACTAGGTCCAGAAAGGATGTCTGTAGCCGCTGGTCTCCAGAGGTTTGAGCTAGCTGCCACTGGAGCAAATTAAGGAGCACTCATACCATCCTAAGGGTTGGGCTTTGAAAGAAGCAGTCTCTGCCAAAGAGGTGAGGACAAACACCTTATGAGTGATAACATTTTAAGCCACTAGTCGCTTTGGCAGCTGAACTCTACCTAGCATCTATATAAAAGGTCAGTGGAACACAGTGCCCTTTTATCCTGGAAGCTCTCCTTGTCGCCAGTGAATGGATGTTACGGGAAGGAAAACATTGCTGATAAGTGTTATTTTTTCCTTTAAGTGGTTTAACAAAACTTTGTTTCCTCAAAGATCATTGGCGTGGATCCTGAAGGTTCCATCGTCGCTCTGCCCAGTGAGATGAATACGACAAGCACCACAAATATTGAAGTGGAGGGCATTGGGCATGACTTTATCCCTACTGTCCTTGACAGATCAGTAAGTAGCCATGTGATAAGAGGCCTCTGTCCTATCTTTAGCTTTGCATCCAGCCTACCCCCAAGGTCAGAGGTAGCCAGCTCTGGCATCCAGTTGTGTCTGAGGCTACTTGTGTGTCTTCCCGGTGCAGAACAAGCTGTTGTGGGGGGATTGGGACCCCAACACTAGAGCATCTGAATAAATCTGATTGTAACTGACCTACAATAAGAAGGCAAATACAAGGGCAAATGAGGAATATGCCACAGTACCAGCCTTCTCAGCAGCCTCTTTTACTGTGATCACACAGAAGAGGTCAGTGCTAAGGCTGCTCTTCATCACCCTAGCGTTTCCGAAGCCATCGCTGTCACGGGCACCACATGTACACCGCAGAAACCTTGCACCATTTTATGGGCTGGAAGACAAGATCCAAGCCATGTAACACAACAGACTATGAATGTCATTTTGCTTCTTGTCAAGTTTCTTCTCAGTGTGTTTGTGGCACCAGGCACAGAACTTCAAAGCCCTAACTGAAGCTGCATGTGTTCTCCCATCCTCGTTTTTCAAAAGGTCCCCCACAGCCTCAGACCTCAGGTTCTTTCTCCTTCCAGATGTTGTGTTAACTACATCTTTGTTGGTGGCACATCGCCTTAGAACTGGGACCTGTAATAACCTCAAGCTCTTTTTGTAGCTGAGTCTGATTTTGCCTTACCAATATTGACCAATAGTGTAACCTAGCCTAGGGCATCATGAACATCATTCCCTCTTCTGCACCCTGGTTATGGACCTTTCAGACATCCCTAACTCTCCAATGAAAGGGTGCTGGCTGGACAGGAGCTAGAGTGGGTGCCTGCAAAGCAAAGACATGCCCTGCAGACCAAGGATGCCCTGACAAATGTATTTGCTTTCAAGAAGTATGGAAAGCAGCTCAAAGCTGCCAGATGTTGTAGGGCATCAGCACCACGGAATGACTCAGAGGGTAGGGACAGCCTGAAATAACAGCACCAAGACCCAACCTTCTTGCTTTTGTCTTCAGGTGGTTGATCAGTGGTATAAATGCAACGACAGAGACTCGTTCCTCATGTCTCGCAGGCTGATCAGAGAGGAGGGACTATTGTGTGGTAAGCACCACCAACAGCAGTTGCTTCTCTTAACATATTTTCTGAATTTTGTCCTTTTGGGACCAAAATGCTTTGAGGTAGGTGCTCTCTGCATTTAGTGCCTGCTGAATGGTGAAGCCTGACCTGGTGCGTAGGGCTGTGTAGACCGCAGAGGTATGGCAGTGCGCCTTTGGTCTGGGATCTGACTCATCGGCCACAGTAATTATAGAAGCAATAGCTCTCCTCTTACCAGGGCACTTCTGCACATGGAACTGGATCTTCAGGCCTAACCCTGTGTGGTGTAGTGTTACGGGGGCTGAAGAGAGGATTAATGGGGCTTGGGGCAGGACAGGTGGGCTAGAACTGTTGCTCCACTAACAACTCTGCAAGGCTGTACCCTTGTTGAACCATTGCCACATACACAAGAGGTGCCAGCTTTGGACCAAGGAAAGCTTGGAAGTAAAGAAAGTGTAAGATGTTCTTACTGAGTATTTCTGCCTTTGCCAACAAGCTGTAAGTGATCCCACGGGCTTTCCAAAATGAACAGATGCCCTCAAACAAACCCTTCCCATGCCCTAGGAGCCTCTACACAGCATCAGTGTTTTTGTCAGCTTTCCCTGCCACAGAGCAGGTTTCCATCCAGGATTAGACAATATGTAGGCTTATAGATGCAGCTGATAAAAGCCCTGAGTGCTCACATCCAGGGAGTTTTGGAAAAGACCAGGCCATTTGTAACAAAACACTTAAATGTTGATTTAACCCACCAGGCACGCAGTCACTGTGTTTCAACAGAAACCACTTACTGACCCGAACTATAATTTGTGAATAGCTCCATGTTCCCTGAGCTGCATTTTTCAGGGCCTTTCCTCATTTGTTTGAAAAATGTGCTAATTAACCTGCTGTAAAATACGTGCTGCCTTGAATGCAGTGTGTAATTGGCACACAGATAGTGGAATGTGTTTGGCTTCCAGTACTTGAACTACTGGTGGAAGAATTGCCTCTTGTAAAGCACGGATCTGCTTTCCTTACGTGCAGCAAACCACATATGTGTACACAGGCACAGGGAGCATTTAAGTCTTCCATCACGTTGGCTTGGTATTCCAAGTATGAATGTAATGTTTATGGGTTTTGTCAGTCTTTACAATGCATTTAAAGCAAATCTTTGATTGCCAAATATGTCAGTCAGAAGCTCTAGATCTGGCGTGGTCTTCTCATCACCCGAAGGAAGGGTATGGCATGAGCAGCAGAATGTCCCTGTGTTGAACCTTTCAGCCCTCGGCCTGCCCACAGAGTCACCACAAGAAATGGTGCAAGAAGTTCATAAGATGGCTCTTACGCTGCTGCAAAAGCCCATTGCCAAGAGCTGTCGTATGAATATATCCCTTCAGCCCCTACCTCTTCCTGATCCTAAAGCCTACAAAGCTGTGGGGCTGATTGTCCTCCTATTCCCAGTGTCTTGAGCCTGCTGTAGGAGGTGCTACCTCTGCTACTGCTTTGCCTGGGTGCATCTGTGCCATTAACAGGGGCAGTGCTGTGCCCCATGTGCTGGGACTGTGGCCCTACACCGTGGGCAGCCCTGATGCTTGTCTCTCTCTTCTTGGTACCCACCCAGGAGGAAGCTCGGGCAGTGCCATGTCTGTTGCCGTGCAGGCAGCCAAGGACCTGAAGGAGGGTCAGCGCTGTGTTGTCATCCTGCCTGACTCTGTCAGGAACTACATGTGAGTTTCTCACTTCCTCACCTGCTTTCTGGTGTTGGGTGGGAGCTCTCACAGCCTTCTTTCCACCTCTGCACACGGCATGGGTTGGGACCATGGGGCCCCTCCATGACATGAGCTTAGCACTGCTGAGCCCTGGGGGTGTGGCTTGCTGGAGAACACCCCAGTACCTCTCACAGCATGACACCCAAAGTAAGCCCAGAGCTGGGAGTCTCCCTGGAGCAACTCATAGGAAAAACAAAGCAAACGATAGGGAGAAATTGCATACTACTGTGGCAAGCACCAGGGGCTGGGTCTTGGGTAGCTTGGGTTTTATTTCCTCTTCTCTCTGATTGATTGCACAGAGCAGGAATCAGTCAAGCTACAGTTTTTGAACTTGCGTGCCTGAAGTTAGGAAGGCAAATAGCTGACGTGCTTCCATGAGTTACTGAGCACCCGCAGCTCCTGCTGACCTTAAAAGGGGCTAAGAGCAGCCAGCTGCAAAAATCATGGGAGCCCCGGGGCTGTGCTGTGGTCTAGCGCATGAAACAAAGCACGACTTCTTCCGGAGGGCTCACAGACTCACTCTTTGTTGGTCATTTCTAGGTCCAAATTTCTTAATGATAAGTGGATGATAAAAAATGGTTTCCTAAGTGACGTCCAGGAGCACAAGCCTTGGTAAGACAGCTTCCGCCGGTACAAACTGTGCTAAGGGAGCCAGCTTTCTGAGCCTGGAAATTGTTAACTTCAAAGGAAAGCATTATCTGTTAGTATTTAGAAAAACTGTAATTAAGGCTGGATCCCTCTGTTGGGGCCGTACTGTCCCATCCTCTCTTTTGAGTGGTCAGGTATTCCTGTTCTCCAATCAAAGTCTATGAAGGAGATGTTTTGCATCCTGAAGTTGCTGATCTGCTCCCACGTGGCAGTCATTGTCCAGACCACCTAAGTCCTCTGAGCAGAACGGTTGAGGGAGACATCTGACTCCACTCAAAACCTCCTGTCCTACTCCACAGCTGTGTTCAAAGGAACATGGGGCCAGTGGGGAGATGGGCCTCTCCTGGAGCAAACACCCTTTCAAACAGCTCTGGAGGTCTTTTCAGGCAGGGAACAGTATATTTTCACTTTCCAGAGCTGCAGGCCAGCAGAGATGACTTTTTTTTAAAGAGCCCCCTCAAGGCAGGGAATCACTACCTGCTGATGCTAGTTGACATGTGGCTGGGCAAATGCCAGTTGTTTAGAAAGTGCCTAGTCTCACTTTGAAGACAGCAGGTATTACTGATGTCACCCGCTCCTTTAGGTTACTATAACCAAAGGTTATTGCAAAACATTTCCTAAAAACTTAATACATTTCCAAGGCCTCTTGTGCCTGTTTAGAATTACTCTTAGTCCTTCCAGCCTCTAGCATTGCCCTGACTCTTCTACAAGGTTGAAGGGCTGAGATAAGTTGGGAGTTGCCTGTGGTCCCCAGCAAACAAGTGTAGCTTGTCCCTCATAAATCACACGAGCGTCTCTGCCAGACTGTCTCCTGGAGGATCTGCAAATGCTGCATTTTGAGGACCAAGGATAGGCCTCCCCACTCATGAGCTTGAGCAAAGCCCTCAGTAACTTCCTTGGATTCAGGACAGCTCAGCACTTTGCCAGCTGCTGGACTCAGCCCTGCCTCTGGTGTTGTATGACTTACTTAGGGAAAGCTTGGCTTCAACAAGACCTGGCCATGGAGGACTTGTAGCATTACTGTTTTGGGGATAGAAGCGGGGTCATCTTTGCAGGCAGGCAGAATGTCTTTGCGTGGCTGGTCTCATCTCTGCTGGCCTTGCCTCCCTGAGCAAGGCCCACAGCCATGCAGCAGAGGGTAACAGCTTGGTGCTGCCATTTGTCTTTCAACAGGTGGTGGAACATCAAGGTGCAGAAACTGAATCTCTCAGCCCCTCTCATTCTCCTCCCAGAAGTCAGCTGTCAAAAGGCAATTGAGATCCTGCAGGAGAAGGGATATGACCAAGCTCCTGTTGTTGCTGAATCAGGGTAACTAATTTTACTCTTTACAAAGATGACCATTCACATATGAAAAGCAGCCACAAGGAAGCTAAAGAGAAAGTGCCTTTACTGATCCCATGACAGGGCTCTTGCACTGCACTCTGTGATGAATATTTTTAAAGTGTCATCTGCCTCCTTGTGAAGATTCATCAGATAAACTCTGTAAATGAGTTTGTTAAAGTCAAAACCAAATCCAGTGCCCACCAGACTCAGCAGAGGTTGGATCAGTGCACAGGCAACAGGAGGCCAGAGGAGAGGTGAAGGCTGGGTGGAAAACCCACACAAACGAGTAGCTGGAGAGACTGCAAGTTTTCCTTCTCCCAGCTGCTAAGTCCTGGACTGCAATAGCAGGCTGTTACGCCACTGTTACACCAACAGCTTGTAGAGGACAAGGATCTTCCTGTCCTACTCAAATGAGGAGAAAGTTGGTGCCTCCTATTGACAGCAGCAGTGATTTAGTCACTGACTTTGAGGGGAGCAGTTCTGCCCCTACATAAAACGTGCCCTATCTCAGGCCTGACCTTTTGGAAAATTCCCTGTTCCCTTACAGGCTTATTTTGGGAATGGTGACCCTCAGCAACACCCTTACCTCAGTGCTGGCTGGAAACGCACAGTTCTCAGACTCTGTCACAAAGGTCATCTACGACCAGTTCTCAAAGGTACTGCTGCAGCTGTGGCTGGTGGCATCACTGCCCAGCGATGGGGAGAGGGGAAGATGAGCACCACCAGCCTGAGGTGTGACAGGAGCCGGGACACGAGGTCAATGAAAAGCAGAGAGGTGAAAGGAGAGAGGTGGGGAGGGTGATGGCCACATCATGGACACGGGTGTCATCAAGGACAGTCACCAGCAAAAGTGTTACTGAGCCTGTGGAGTTCAGACACAGGCTTTCATGCCAGGAGCAAAGCGTGTGAATGTCCACCCCCAATCTTACACTGTCAGAGGGTTTTGTCCAGCTGTGGAGTAAGCACCCTCTGAAATCAGAGCCCAGGCATTGCCAGGGCTCAGCGGGGCTGGGACAGCAGGCATGGGCTCTGATAGGACACAAAGCAGGTCCTACCGGTGTGCAGGGGAGGGATGCCTCAGTTGAGTGTCCATCAATAGTCCAGAGAGGGAGTGAGGTAAATGAATGGTGTTTTAGGGGAGCTGGAGCCATCACGTCATGCTAGCCCATGGAGGCCCCTTGGGCTGGGGGAAACTTAAAGGTTGAACTTGATGATCTTAAAGGTCTTTTCCAACCTAGCCAATTCTATGATTTTATGATTCTATGAGACAGCACTGTATTTCAGCTAGAGCGAAGCCAGGTTTGCAGGTTGCCTGAATTCCCTCCCGTCTCCCCAAAACAGTGCAAGTGGGTGAGGTGCACTTGATCCTGGTCCAGCTGGGTGCCACCCTCCCCACTCATGGCTGCAGTTAGAGGCAGGAGCCAGGCTCTGCCACCACTGTCCTTTAAATGCGAAGTGAAACTTAAAATGTCTCTTTATCTCCTGTTCAGATTGGCCTGGAGGACAGCCTCGGCAAACTTTCCTGCATCTTGGAGAACGACCACTTTGCTATCGTTGTACATGAGCAAATGCAGTGTAGGTATCTACAGAAGGACTGTATGGGCTTTGCATGAATGTTTGAGAGGGGAAAGGGAAATTCTCAAACTGAGCTCGGTAGGTATCAGCCTCTGAGCCTTTGCAGGGAAGATTTCTGCCCTATGGCTCTGCAAAGCCCAGGAACTGCCAACTATTCACCCATTTCCTTTCCTGACACCACAGAGATGAGGGGAGAGAGGGGAAGCCTTAACAAAAGGAGTCCAGGACTAGCACCAGGATGTGCATCCTGCAGGAGCCCTTCCCAGATCTTGGCCATGGGAGCTGTGTTGTCCTCTGCATGCAGGGGTGATGCTGAAGCACCCATCAGCTCCATCCCCTCCCCTCATGTCATGGTTTCCCGTGGAAATCCACTTCTGGGGATGAGAAGTACTCATTATGGAATTTCATTTGGTCCCCTCTGACAGCCAAGGTGGACTGTAGGTAGCAGCTTAGGGTGCCGTGCCTTTGCTGCACAGCCGTAGGCTCAGGCCTCTCTTTCTTGTTTAGTCTTTTGACCTTGAATTCAAATCACTACCTTGCTGGCTGTGAGCAACAGAGGAAACGAGGGAAATTAGGGATCTCTGTAGACTTAGTATCCCAAGGGCAAGATTGAAAGGAGGCCTACAAGAAATCTGGAAAGGCCTTTTTACTAGGGCATGTACTGATAGGACAAGGGGAAATGGCTTGAAACTGGAGGTAGATTTAGACTGGACATTAGGAAGAAGTTCTTTACTGTGAGGGTGCTGAGGCACTGGCACAGGTTGCCCAGAGAAGCTGTGGCTGCCCCATCCCCGGCAGTGTTCAAGGCCAGGTTGGACAGGGCTATGAGCAACGTGGTCTAGTGGAAGGTGTCTCTGCCCATGGCAGGGGGGTTGGAACTATATGATCTTTAAGGTTCCCTCCAACCCAAACCATTCTGTAATTCTATGATTCTATGAAAGGAGCATTTGCGCACTTTCTATAAAGCTTAGGTGGAATTCAGGCACCTAAATGAAAGGTAACAAACTACACAGTCTGCATCCCACTGCTTAAAGACCTTCTGCTGTGCATGCCCAGAGGCTGTGTCATCTTCTGAACACCCCTGTTCCCACTTGCCGCTCCTGGAGATGCAGGCAAGAGACATCCTTATGCCTGTGAGCCCCAAGGAGCCTAGGTAAACTGATATGCTGAGGGACCTTAGGGTGCTATCTGATGCTGGTGCTATCAGACACCTACCCTGGAGGTCCAGGGTAAGTTGAGAAAGATGAAAACAAATGTGTTGGACCATTAAGCAAGTCCTGTGGCAGAGGCACATGACTCAGGAGGCACAATGTACACTGATGGGTGCAGCTTGGGGCATCTGTATACGAGCCTTACCTGGACCACTGCTGGGTATAGGGGTGCTCTGCTACTTTGAGAGCACCATTAGACTAGTCCAATAAAGCAGCTGTGCCAGCAGCTTTGGTTTATTCTCAAACCACTGTACAGCCACCCGCTCCTCAGTGAAGCAAACCAACTCAGTAGTCACGTGCAGTGGGACCACATGAGGGTTGCTGACACATCCATACCAGAGGGATCACACCTTGTTGCTCCTCTGACCACAAGAGATATGGTGGCAGGTGCTGTTCTGCAAATCTGACCTAACACACCCTTCCAGGGCAATTATACTGTAAAACCTCTAGAAGTACAAATCTGGCCTTATCTTGGGGGAGTTGCTTTGTCTAAAACATTAACAACATGAAAAGGTAGTCAGAAGGCTCATGCTTTGGACTTCTAAATTAGAGCTGAAGGGTGGAAAGATACTGATTTTAGGGGATTACACATAGAACATGCAAAGCATTCCTACAGTGAGCAGCATGCAATATTGTGCTGTTGAACCCAGGGTCTCTGAAACCCACCACGTACAAACATCCCAACCCCTTTGCTTGTTTCTCTGTGGCCTGCTGCTAGGTAGAATCTCCTTTCTCAGCTATGTTGTCATAAAATAGTGAACATCTATTTTGTATCACATTTCAATATAAAGTAAATGTTATCCACAAATTAAATGGTACCCACTGAAGAACATCAGCCAGCTGAATGCAGTGCATGTTGCTCTGGTTTTCAAACAACGCCCATTTGCTTTTCCAGAGCTGCTGTTTTAATGCTGCCGCAGTTACCCCCTTATTTATTACTTTCTTCCCACACCTTCAGAGCCTGCATTTTATCTCGTGTTTGGGCTCTGGTGGCTAGTTTTATTTTTATTTAAGAAAACATTTATCAGATAGTTAAAGCAATTGTTGCAATGCTTTTTATTAATGGTAATGTAGAACATTATGAGAGCAGAGTAGAAAGTGCCTCACTGCTGCTCTTAAAGAGTCTCATTAGTTTGGCCTGAAAAGTTTTGAGGTGATAGAAGCAAGAGTGCAACAGAGGTTGGATAAAAACAAGCAGGGAATTAAGTTTCCTGCTCTGGTAAAGGGTGCATTATTTGCAGCTAAAACTTCCCTGATGTAATCCCAGTGACCTGACCGAGGCCGCATCAGTCTTTCCTGTTGAGGCAGAGCAGAGACAGCTGCTGTTCCCGTTGAGGTTTCCTTTTAATAGACGAACAGCAGCCCCTGCACAGCTGGGGTTGGGTTCTTCTGGTTGTATTTCCACTAAACTGGTGTTTTCTGTGCTTGCAGTCAATGGGAATGGAAGCTCCTTCATGAAGCAGATGGTGTTTGGCGTGGTCACAGCGATGGACCTCCTGACCTTCGTCAGCAGAAACGAGAAGAAGTAGCAGAGCAGTTGGCTGTACCCTCCTCTGCTCCTCCGGCAGGGCCAGCTGCCCCCCAGGCCTCCACCTCCCGGCAAGGTGCTTTCTGGTCTGATCCAGCTGATCGTTTCTCAGAATGGCTAGGTGAAAATCATACTGTAATGACCATTTGTCCGCTAAATGCCATCCCAGAATACCACTAACTAGAAGGTATCTAAAGAAATTGCATTTAATAGCCATGTGTGGTTACACAGAGCTTCCCAGGGATGGAGAGGTAATGCAGGGAGGGGTGGGAATGGGACAGGAAAGGTTGTTATTGCCCAGATTTTAGCAGGTGGGGGATTGGTGCCAGGAGGACAGTGCCAGACTCGTTTCAGTGGTGCGACAGGACAAGGAGCAATGGCCATAAACTAAAACACAAGAAGCCTCATCTCAGCATGAGGAAGAACTTCTTTACGTTGATGGTGGCAGAGCACTGGAACAGGTGCCCAGGGGGGTCGTGGAGTCTCCCTCTATGGAGACATTCAGGACCCACCTGGACACATTCCTGCGTGACCTGCTCTAGGTGGCCTTGCCTTGGCAGGGGTTAGACCAGATGATCTCCAGAGGTCCCTTTCAACCTAACACATTCTGTGATCTGTGATGTATGTGCTACCAGTAGGTACCCATGTACTGCCAGTGCTGCAGCTGCTGCGAGTGACTCTGGTCCCACCGGTACCAGAGCCCGTCTCTGCTGTGAGAGAAGCAGAGCTAGGGGCAAGCTGCATCATGGCTACAACCTTCTGCCCCTCTCCAACCCTCACGGGGACAGCTGCAGGTACTCCCAGGACACCCTCCTCCTTATCCCCAGCTCTGTTGGTGGACCAAGGAGGCAGCAGGAAAGGCAGAGCCCCAGAGGAGTGATGAAGAGTGAGGAATGGGTGGGACATTGCACCCTAGTATGTGAAAGGTGGGGAGCTGGGCAGAAGAGATGGGAGGGGAGAACCAAGGGCTGTGACAGTCAGGGGGGAATGAGGTGCTGGTCTGGTGGGGAATGATGGCTCCCATAGTGGCAACTGGCCTCTGGAAAACACCTTCCTTTACCTCTGAGGAAGCTGGTGGCACTGGGTGTCTCAGGCACAGTCCCACAGGATGGGGCAGTGAACCAAACCCGTTCAAGAAGTAAAGACTCATTCTCACCATACATAAACTGGGAGAGGGAATACAGCTTCTTCCTTGTGTCCTGTAACAGTCATCTCATGAATATGCATCCTGGGAGCTCATTATTGAGGGGAAGGCAAGGTTGATCTTAACTTTGCTGTCAGGGTACTACGTTCCATGAACTGATAATGAAGGTCAGAAGAGCCATTTGCCATGTCTGCACAAAACATAAATGAACGTGAATGTGAAAGGAGGGCTGTGGGACCAAACTGAAGCGCCATTGAAACCTGGTTTGGGGGAGTTGCTCTCAAAGACGCGCAGAGCTTTGCCATCTTTCCATAAGCCTTGGGACCTGCTCCCAGATGACAACAACCAATTCCAATTCTGGTTCACTGCTAAGTGGCTAGTCCATACTTTCAATCTAATCTAGTTTGTATGAGACTTTTGTTAAATTATAGAATGCTAAAGTATTTATATTTAGGAAGAGTGCTGTCTTTTGCTTCCTGAACAGCACAAGCTATATCAAATCTGTGAGTTTTAGCTTAAGTAACAACCATCTTTGTCCAGAAAAAAGTAAAAACTGATGAGCTCAACCTCATTGTACTGTATTTATTTTAGCAGCTCTGTTGCAAACTGAAGGGTCTTAGTTCGCGTATGTATTCCAAACTCACATGAGTAAGTGTTAAAGTGTTAAAGTGACCCATAACTCCATGAAACCTGGACCTGAGTGTGAATCTGGACCACCTTGAAGCCCAAGGCTGTGGGGGACAAGTCACGCTAATGAGATATCCTTTCAGAAATTGCATCTGTTTATGCAAAAGATGCCCTATTACTTCGAATTTGAACAGAAACAAATACACTATTTGATGCATCTGAACTGAATGTTCACTTGCAGAGCAGGCTCCTGCCTGCTATGGGTGTGCAGAATATGTCATCTCTCAAAACCAACCAGCTGAAAGCCCAGATAACAGGCTCACAGCATGTTACAACAGCCCAGGCTTCTGCTGCCCTGACCCTCTTTGCAGTCTGCATGGCCCTATGGATTAGCCTGAACCCCCATGCTTCCAGCAGTAGCAGTGCTAGAGGACAGGCAGCTGCATTCAGCAGAGGTGAAATAACTGCTATTAGTCACAAACACTTACAATGGCTTTTGTGTGTTAACTGTGAGTGTGGGAACTAACAAAGTTGGGTGTGAGCTCTGGACATTCCGGATTGCTCCACATCCACATTACAGGCACATCCAGCAGTGGCATTGCCCTGGCTGGGGATGTCGGTGTTCCCTCTGCTGTGGTTTGCCACAGACTGTGACCCAGCGGATGCAGACACGCTCCACAGCACGCTCCAGGGCAGAGCGCTGGCACCCCGGGGTGCTGCGTTGGGTGAGGGGGTGGTGAGAGGGAATGGCTGGTGCTGTTCTGCCCGTCACATCTCTGGGGAGTAACTGCCACCTGCTGTCTCTTCTCCCCAGGTCCCCAGGGCTGACCTCGATAGCGACAACCCCTTCCAGATAAGTGGTCTTTCAAGTTCATTTCCCTCCCCTTGCCACCGAGGCTGTACCAGTATTTTACATATCCAGTGAGATGCAGCCACCCAGCTCAGCACAGCTGAGTGATCTCTGGCTTTGTGGGACATGGGGGTCCCACATATCTCCCAGAGGAATGGGGATATTCAGGCTTAAGGAGCTGTGAGAGAGTGGCGGGAGAAGGGCAAGGGCAAGGACTGGGCAGCATCCTGCCCCACTTTCCTGAGCATGGTGCCCAGCTCTGGTGCAGGAGACAGACCCTGCTCCTGCAGCACCAGCCCATGCTCTTCTGCAGCACCTCCTGCTGTGAGGGGTGCACACATGTGTACATGCAGGAGCTGCTCTCCACAGTCCATCCGCTGCAAAATATTTCTGTTCTTCATCCCATTCCTCTGCAAGATTGGGGGACACATTTCCAGTGAGCTCATTAGTACATCAGACTAAGATGATTTCACACCAGGGAGCTGATGGGACCCAGGGGAGCTTGGTCTGCCTGCACTGGTCAGGGCACATGGATTATGCCCACATGTGAAACTCATGCGTACATCCTCTGCTGAGATAGGTGGCCCTGGCTTCAGGTGTCTTAATCCAGAGGAAAACTGCCATGTAGAGCCTAAAGCGCTTTAAACAGCGTGTGCTGAGCGTGCCCTGGGAACCTGCATGGACACAAGGATAAAACACATGCCCTGAGAAGGTCCATGCCTTCATCCAGCTCTTGAGGGGGAGCATTGCGGGGTGCATCACCCAGAGCTGGCTGCCCTCACTAGAGCTTTTAAGTCAGTTTATTTCCCTCTGGACACTGTAATCCATGTTCCCGGCAGCCTGTGAAGCGCAGGGAGATGCTGACGCTTCAGAAACCCTGCCTGAAGCCTGCAAAGATGGGCGTGGGGACATAGCACAGACCTGCAGGCAGCTGGGAGATGCGGGATTAGTCTGCAGCCAGACAGACTAAGCCAACACCACGAGCAAGATAAGCATCTCGCTGGCCCTGCCCAGCCACCTTTTGTGCTACGGAGCCTTCCCCGCCTCCCCCCACCAGTGTTTCATCGTGGGGCCACCACCAGCAGCACATAAATAGAGGACCCCAGGCAGGCTGTGGGGCGAAGACTGGAGACATCACTCGGGGTCCTGCACTGCACCCCAGCACCCATCCCGCCTGCCCAGCCACCCTGCAGCAGGTAACCAGCGCCTCGGGAAGCCGAGACCCCAGGGACTTGGCATGGGACAGGAGGGGAGTGCCTTGGCCAGCCTGCATCCTGGCTCTCCAAAACTGAGGGGGGATGAACATTTCACTAGGAGAAGTGTCCTGGAGTGAGCAGGAGGCTGCTCCTGCTGCAGCTGCTGAGGAACAGACTCCATGTAGTGGTTTTGCAGGAAACTGGCTCTGTTGGACAAGCCCAATTCCATTGTGAGGTGGGGTCAGAGGTTTCAGCAGTGAATGGGATTGCCAGGGCTGGACAGAGGTTGGGGTGTGTGAAACCTCTGGTGATAGTGTCTGATGGTGGTGCTCTGCTCTGTTCCTGTGTGTGAAACCCAGATGAATCAGGTGCCTGAAGTGGGGCAGCAGGGAGGGAGTTCTCAGCATGAGGCTGTTTTAAGGCTGAGAACTCTTTTAGACTGACAGGTTTTCAAGACCCAACATTTCCTTAAGTGCAGCCACAGTTTGGATCCCTTCCCTCTGTCTGATTGACCTTACGTGCTGCTTTACTAAATACACTTGCTCCCCTCCTGTCCTTCCAGGTTGGGTCCCTTCTCCAGTTGCCCCAGTACCACCTTTGATTACAATTACATCGTTACCTCCATGCTGTGCATTTGATAGCCCAAATTTACTACTCTTGCAGACATGCAATAATATTTCCAAATTGCATAACTATAAAGAAAAAGCTTGAAAGCATTAACTCCATCCATCTTTAATTTGAAAAAAGAAAGACTTTGAAGCTTTCCTGGGTTTAAAGTAAACTCTTGCTTAAGTTACTGGCAACTGCTTCATCCTTGCTCTAAGTTATAACTGTTTTGCCATGCATTTCATGCACACGTTTTAATGTACTAGAATCATAGAATCACAGAATGGTTTGGGTTGGAAGGGACCTTAAAGACCAACTAGTTCCCACAGGCAGGGACACCTTCCACTAGACCAGGTTGCTCAAAGCCCCATCCCAGCAGATCGATCACTGCGCTGAGCAGCACAGAACCCAGATCCGCTCCCCAGGGAAAGGTTAGTTTAGGGCAAACCATATTGGTCCCAGGATGCTGCAGATGACTAGAACCATGGGAATGGGTTATGGGAATGTCGTGGGGGTGCAGATCTCGGGGGTTTGGTGTGCCCATGCCCAGCCCTACACCTGCACCGGTCTCCCCTTTC